CATCAAAATAAAGGAACCGGAAAATCCGGTATACGAGTGGTCGTCTCTTACGACATTAACTCAAAATGTTTCTAAGAAATTGGATATCAAATTTTTGATACAAAAATTAGTAAATTTCCCCTTCCCGTGCCATTTAGCTCGACGAAATCTGAGCTCAAGCGGTAGGCGTGAACAAGCGGTAAACAGACCAGACTGATACTCGAAAACAGTTAAAACTTCAATAACTAAACTGTTTTGTAACAGAGATTATAAGAATCGTGACCCACTCTCGTGGCGTACTGATAGGAACTAAAACACAATCACGATCGTACCTGGTAAAACATCATTCCGTGATGTTTACGTTTGGGCCGACTTTCTGTTCGCGAATCTGGCTCGTGATATTCATGTTTGGGCCAAAATCTTCATCACAAATCAGACTCGTTAAAGTACAGGAAGGGGTTAAATTATGCTAAGTAGATACTCAGTGACTATCTCAAGTAGTAACTGAATATAAGTATTCTTTTTACTCAATCGTATCATTTTTACAAGTACAAGTATCAATGAAACGTATGGGACACCCTGTATACATCAGCTGTTGCGTGATATAAATTATCACAGTAAATTAAAAATAACTATTGAAAAACAAAAGGAAAATCAGAAACAATAAACTGTTTACATCTCTAATGAAAATATTTCATAAATTTAAAGAAAAATTTATTTTTGGACTTAAATTTGTTAAGGAAATTTGACCTGGTTTCAATGACATGTGTATCTGTGTCGTTTCTTTCATTACATAATTAAATATTCATCTTTCCACATAAAAATTTCCGTTTTTAACCTAATCACCATAAAGAATAACCTTTTTACTTAGAATTGCTTAACATTTACATATTTAGACATAAATATGAATTAATCATGTATGTATTTATAGACCACATACTGCTTAGCTATTGTGAGTCAGGGGCAAAAAGTTAATGTAAGGCCGAATACCTCATGAAAGCATTTAACCCTCGTTTAAGATGATGAATAGCCAAAGTGCGAGGAATGCTTTTACCCGGGACAGGAAATTAAACCTCGATTCGAATATATGGACGATCCTTGTCAGTTCTCGTTTAGACCTTCTGCTTATCGTCCTAAACACTTTAATGTAATTGAGTACATTCTAAAGCAATTTAATCAATCAATTAATAAAAATACCTCGGAGTAGTACAGAACATAGCAACGTTATTGTAATTATGTTACAAGGTGGTTTACGATATCTGTGCCAAGCACACCTCTCTAATTTTAGAAATCATTTCAAATTTACTTTCCTTTCGTGACAGAAGTTTCGATCTTTATAAAAGCACGAATCTGCCAATCATAAATTTACATTGTAATGCGAGGATGCCTAGAAACTCTCAATTTCCATATTTAGAGCATATTGTCACCAAAATTCAATATCAAATCGATTTTCTTAACGTGCAAGAATGTTCTGCATTTACCATCGTAAAATCTCTAAAACAATATCAGAAAATTATATAAAGAAAAAAATAAAATAAAAAGAGAAAAGAAAAAGAAAGATTAATTTTCCTCCTTGCGAAGTACATCGTTAATGCTTATGTAGTTCCTTGGTAAATATCCTAAAATTGCTGCCAACGAGTACACAGTGAGTCTATAACTATAAATAGCTTACGAATAGTATCCTTAGCGGTTCGTTAAACCTCGAGAGTTCGATAGCCTGCAATCCGTTTCCCGCCGAGACGACTTGACGGCGGAAGTGTCGTAGAGACGTTACCTTTTGCCGGAACGGTCGCTTCTGCCCTCGTCCATTGCATCCTCCTATCCAACGATCAGCTGCCGATTCCCGAATCTATCACGCTGAAGTGATTGTTCCCGATCACAAACAGCTTATCAAAAGCCGTCAATGTATTAACGAAACGAAATCGATAAGATGACTCGACCGCACTAGATCCTTCTGCTGGCGTGACTGGCTTTTCGGGTAAGATGTTAATGAGAAGGTGCCGGTGATACACCTGCGCAGCTGCGAACTCGAAACGCTCGACCGACCAGGCGCTAGATGGTGTAAAGAAGACCACCAGCGAGCCCAGTCGTATCCCGTTATCCGTCCGTATTGTTTTCCACAGAATTCCACAGGACTATACTCGAGTGTCAACATCATTGCAAGGACATCTACTGCAATTCTTGTATCGATTCTGCAGTTCTTCGAAAGTTCAGTTGATTAAAAAGAGTTTTTACGTTACTTTCTTGATGTATTATTGGTTATGTATGTTGAAACTTTAGTACGTCAAAGTAGAAGGTTAATGAATTATATTTCGAAACTATTATTGACTTCAATTGAATATCGCGAGTGTATTTCATACTGAGATTTTGTTTATTATTCTTGTCAGATTGAAAGGAAATGTAATTGAAATAAAAATTAGAATATATACATATGTATGTTGCCATTACCTCTGTGGTAGGATAATTCCATTCCATTAAAATTGTTTTTTTATTAATCAAAAGATAAAATATTCGTATACAGTGCCTTTTATATTATGTGTGATTTTGCGTAGGATTTTCATTCAATGTTTTATCAAATATTCGATATAGCGTAAGTGTAATCGTTATTTACGTAAACATTAATTACTTTCTGTGACATACACGCGATATGAACTGAAATACCGACGATGCCATGTTCAGAGCCATTGTCAAGTACATCATAATATCGATTTCCAAAACTAATCAGTGCATTGCTGTATTGCCCTAATCATGTGTATGTTTTGTACGTTTGTACTTATAACCTCTTTATTTTTAAATAAAATATTCTAAAAAAGTGTTATACTGAAATTTTTGATTAATTATATCCATTTTTATACGAATAAATTCCAATCTGGATTATTCGAATAACATTTAATAAATTATTATTTATATTATTTTTTATTCATATTGCCTATATAATCGTAATAAAATGATATTTTAAATAAAATATAAATATTGAAAAATAAAATGACATTAGATATTCAATATGTGTAAAACAGTATGTTACTTAAATTTTTAAGCAAATAAAAATCTGTCCTTTTCTATTTATTAGCCATTAAATTGAGATATTCGAATCATTATTTAAATAAAATATTATCTGAAAAATTATATAGACACATAAATTATTAAAATAAAATATATTAATAAATAACAAAAAGTATTTATTTATTTTTCTTCTTTTTTTATTATTACTGTTGTAATTGGGTGAAAGAAGAAACGCAGGGCAGTTTTTGATAATCACGTTTTATTTTTATACAATCGTACTCTATAGTATCTCACGCTTGACTGACACCTTTTCCTAAAACAGTTGAAAGCAACTATTACAATGTATTTATTATTATTACAATGTCGTTGCTCTGGCATTGATATAATCGATTTCTTGCTTATCGATTTCGCCAACAATTACTTTTTGTATACGTTCAGAAATATTTTTTATATAAAAATATCCAAATGTACACTAGTTGCTACTGTTATTTAAAGAAGATTTAAATAAAAATTCTAGAAATTACTAAAACTTATTACGAATAATATTTATCTATCTTTAGTATCTTTTTCTATATATCATTTATATTTTATGATAGTTTTGGTATATATTCAAATCAGTAACGATTGTTTAAAAACATTTTACAAATTAATTGTATATAGATTAAATAACTTACGTTCGATATAAATAATTAATTATTACTCAAAATATGTAAATATAGTAACTTTAGATACATATACATGTAAAGAAAAATCTATTTCGATAATATAGCATCTTTAAATTACTTACGAGTAGTTTATTCTTTATTTAGTAGTTTTTAAAAAAAAGGATTTAGGTATGGATATCAAGTAAAATGATTTATTACTGCTTGATTAAACTCGTACATTACGAAGTATAGTTCTGAAAGGAATATGAGTTCAATAATCATTACAAAGTAGTATTTTGTTAAATAAAAAAATTATTTCGAACAGAGACATTACGTGTAATATATATTATTGCATCTTAATAAATTTTGATTATTTATGAATATATATGTGTTATACAAAATTAAAAATTTAATATATTTTATTTCTTTTAGAATATAAATTGACGTAGGATGATGACGATTAATTTATTCGTTTAAAAAATTTCATAATAATCGTATTATCAAAGATACTATTTCATTATTTCTCTAATATTAAATTAATTCTTTAATTTTATTTTTTTATTTTGATTATTATTTAAGAAAGCCAAAATTGAAAAACTTGATTAATGTATATATTTGAATATTGTTTTTATTTACTTCAACTAAGTGATTTTGCAATTAAAAGTTACAGGACGTAAATTTGATTTATTAATGTCGATATGTATTTCTCGTGCATGTAATAAAATATCACGTGAATGTTTGATAAGTAGAATATACAAATTTTAAAACTTGCTAAAGTCTAAACTATTCCTATTTCGTCTTATGAAACATACAGAAATTAGAAGTTATATAGATATGTAAAAATGTTATTATATACCACGTATATTTAGTAATACAATTATCTAGTCCGTTATAGTGCTGTAATATATTTCTATTTAAACAATATTTTATTTTAAGTTTTTGTTATATAAAATTAAAATATTGTTTAAAGAACGTAAATTATTATTATGTAATATGCGGTGTATTAATATCGAACAATAAATGAGATACATAGATATTTCATATGAACTATATTTGTATGTTTTAATGATAAATAGTAATGTACGTTATGATAATAAATTGTTCGCAAAATAAATTTTAACTCATGTACTAGACGTAATTATCTTTATTTAAACTATTATTTTATGTACATCAAATTTAAATATTTCATTTTCGGGGCAAATATTGTTATATAATATAAGTTTTTAGTTAAACTAAAAATCAATTTTAATAAAAATTGATACATGAAATATCAATTCTGTAAATAAAGCTACATTGATAACTTTTGATGTATGTACAGTGTACAGTGCCATCTGTAGCAGGCGTATGTATATTATGAACTAGCGTACACGACTATCTGACATTTCTGTCAAAAATTTTTGTTCGTATACCTTTGTCAACGTAGGTGAAAAGACTCTGCCTTGTGAAAAACTTATTTTAAAAATGTTTATAGGGAGATAGCATTGGACAAAATGAACAAAAATATGAATTCGCCATCTAAGCTTACGGAGTTCGCTCCATTAAGTCCTGAAGAAAGCCAACCTGTTGTAGCTTCTTTATTTTCAAAATTTTTTAACTTTACCAAAAGTAAGAACTTTTGTTTATTGTATTTTCAATTATGTTTTAAAAATAAGACATTGTAGTTTAAATTAGTGAGAAAGGCAGTAAATATCATAAAACAATGAATAATTAATATATGTAACTTATATTGTTTAATTTCTAGGTTCACAGAATGTTGATGATTCTACAATTTCTTCCACTAATGAGGAACAAAGCTCATCTGATTCCGAATCCTGGAAACAATCAGAAAGTACTGAAAAATCACCTGAAGATGATAGTTCAAGTATGATGAATTTTCCTTTAGATACTCGTGAAGGCAGAAGTTTACCAAATGTATTAAAACGTATTAGTAATATAGTAGCCTTAAAAAGTAATGTAAGTCATCTGATATATGTTCTGCAATATATATTAAGTATATATATTAAGAAGTGTAAATAATTTAAAAAAACAATGTTACTAATTTAATTTAGAATTTACGTTCGTACAAAGATTCGCAATTAAGGAGTTATTGGATGCCAGACAGTGTAAGCAAACAGTGTTATGAATGTGGTGAACGTTTCACAACATTTCGCAGAAGGCATCACTGTCGTGTCTGTGGTCAAATATTTTGTTCAAAATGTTGTTCTGATCAAATTCCTGGAAAAATTATGGGATGCACTGGTATTTATACATATATAATAAATGTTCATTTTTGAACCATTATTTTTGCATTTAATAAATAACAAAAATGTTGTTATAGGTGATCTTAGAGTTTGTACATATTGCTGCAAAGTAGTTTTGTCTTACTTACAATCATCAGATATGAGAAGTGATCTGTCAGCAGATTTAAAAGCACTGCAAGAAGATCTTCAAGTTAAATATGGAAATAATTCACCACCAATAACTCAAAAATGTATAAGTGAATCAGTAGAAGATGAAACTTCAATTTGTAGAAAACCAAGTGTGGGATATATGGAAGAAAAATATGCTATTGGACGGTATTGTTTTTTATTAGCTTTGTTTCTTCAGTAAAACTTGAACATTTAACACATTGACTGCCACATAACAAGCATGATAATTTAACACAGTTATGCATGACTAAAGCTTGTTTTCTGAGTGGGGCCATGATAGACATCGGTGATTGGAGTGCTACAATTGTTTAGAATGATGAAAATAAAATGAATATCGTTAACTGCAAAATTTTGAACAACATAGGTAATTAAACAGTATTATGAAATCTTATTACCACTTTGATAATTATAGATAAAAATATGATCTTCTATAATCATATTTTTTATTATTTTATCACTGTATACTTAGAATAATGAAAATTCTATTGTGGTCCCCTAGGAGCATTGTGTAAAACTTGTATAGCAGTCAATATGTTAATAGTACCTCAGATTTGTAAAATATAGAGATATTCTATGAATATGTTTTTCAGACCAACAACTAGTTATTTAACATCTCAAGAACGTTCTATTGTATTACAAAACTCAGCATCTTTGAGAATGATTTATGAAGAATTATTTAGATCCAGCCAAGCAATTTTATTACAAACACATAGGGTTAGACTGAAAAGTTATCATAATTGTTTTCTCGCTAATGAATTAGTAAATTGGATGATAGCACAAAATAAGGCAGCTACTCGGTAAAAAAAATTTTTAAATATGTATAAAAGAAAAAACAGATGTTAAAGTATAATATTTTATAGTGTGCAAGCTACTGCTATGGGACAAGCTCTGCTGGAAGCAGGTTTCATTGAACCAGTAGTTGCTGATAATGTATTTAGTGATACAGCAACTGTATTTAAACCAGTAAAATTATCTCATATACAAAGTATGGATTTATTAATTGAAACTCAAAATACCTGTGATTCTCAAGAACCTGCGTGGGTAAAAACAATTCCACAACATGATTCAACTACTGGTAATATACAATCTATATTACACTGTTACATTAAAAAGACCTACATCAGAAGATTTAACTACAATTTCTGTAGATAGTAGTGATGGTGTAATTGAACAAAAAGAAGTTACCGTGAAGTCACATAAATGTAATTTCAAAATTGCTGATGACCTTTTAAATGATACTCTACAGGTCCAAGAATTTAAAGAAAAAAATGGTTGGCATAAACCAACAAATCTTCGAATTGCATTTGGAGAATTGCATGCATATGAATGTTTAACGTAAGTATTGTATACATAATATGCAATAATAATAATAATATTTATATTCAAATTTATTTAATTACAGATCTGCATATAAACAACATGAAGATTCACTAATTAAACAACTTCTTAATAAAGAAGGTTTATCACAAAGTTGGTCAGAAGTAATACTCTCTATTGCCCATCAAATTATTGATTATGTTCGACCAGATTTAAATCATAATATTGATGATTTAGATATTCGACAATATGTACAAATAAAAAAATGTCCAGGTGGAAGTAGAGATGATTGTGAAATTCTGTCTGGTGTAGTTTGTACAAAAAATGTTGCACATAGAGGAATGAATGCAATGATAGCTCATCCAAAAATTTTGTTACTTCAATGTGGACTCATGTATCAACGCGTAGAAGGAAAATTACTAAGTTTAGAACCTGTGATGTTACAAGTATGAACAAAATTTTAATAGTATTCTTATTTTACGTTATGATAACAAATTTTTATTTGTAGGAAAATGAGTATTTGGGGCATACAGTTGCTAGGATCACTGCTCTAGGTCCAGATATTGTTTTGGTACATCGTTCTGTATCAAGATTAGCACAAGATAGGCTTAGGGAATGTGGAGTAACACTTGTTCTGAATGTAAAACTCAGTGTTCTTGAAAGAATTGCACGATGTACTGGTGCTAATATCATAAATACCATTGATGCACATATAAGTGCAAGATATATGCTTGGTACATGTAAAAAATTTTATTTGCGGAACTTTTCATGTGAAAAAAGTATGTAATAAAAGATATCAAATCTTTAAATTTTTATTTTATTAGGATAATATTGATATCTTTCTTTCTTCTTTTTAGATGGTATTAAAACATTAATGTATTTTGAAGGATGTGCAAATCCACATCTTGGAGCTACCATCTTATTACGAGGTGGTTCTCAACCAGAATTAAAAAAAGTAAAAAATGTAACTTCAATGATGATTTTTGCTGCATATTCTTGGCGCCTTGAAAAATCATTTCTTATGGATGAATTTGCAAAACCGCCATCCTCTAAAGATAATTCATTTTTGGATGAAACGTCATACAAAGATTTTAAGGAATTTCAACAAGGCAATAAAATATCGCAGACCAAAGTTTCTGATGAAAATGATGTGTTATTGATTCATAGCAAAGAGTATGCAGATAGTACAGAAATTTTAAAAATATCAGAAGTTCAAGAAGATTCTGGAAATATAACGAATGATATACATTTAGAAATAGAACTTTCAGCAAATGGAAGTACACCAATAAAAGATATAGTCTCATGTCAGACTGAGAACAAATTAACTTCTGAGTCTGTTAAACAAATATCTTCTATATTATCTGAAGATGCTGATCCATATGATACTTTGAAATTATTCAAACCTAAAACAAAATCTGTAATTGATGAAAAAGGTGCAGGAGATAGCCTAATAACCAAAATAAACAATGATAATTCATGCAATAGTTCCAGTCTTGATGTGGATTGTAAGGATGATCTAAATAGTACAATGGATTTATTTGGTGGTAAGACTATTAAGAAAGTAAATAAAAATGGTAAAGAAGAAGCTGAAAAATCAAAAACAAAAGATAGGGTTGTCTCAGAAGAAAAGCGTATTTATGGTGAATCTATTAGTGATCGTAGTGATCCCCTTCATCAGTATTTAAATGAAGATGAAGATGTCTTCAGTCAGACTAGTCCAAATGGTCAACATTTAAGTGTTGCAGATTTACCATTATTAAATAAATTTAAGAAAGCATTAGAGGGTACTATATTAAGTGTTTCTCCTTATTTAAAATTTTCTGTACCTTACTTAGAAACAGAGACTGGAAGGAATTGCATATTAAGGAATTTCTTTCCAAGAGAAATCTTTTATTCCGTTCAATTTGTGGATAAAATAAAAGAAATTAAAACGAATAATGTATGTGTAGAACAATCTGTAACAGAAAATCCATTAATGAAATTAAAATTAAAACCGCAACATCCATTTGTTCAGGCAAAATTAACTACAGATGCGGATAGTCGAGAGGTACAAGCTTTATTAGCTAACTTTAGGGCATGTGGTAGTCGATTATATCCAACGAATAATGTTTTATTAGACAAACAAATTTTAATGCAATCAGAAGTAAATGAACAACCTCCTATGTGGCCTGATTGCTTAGATCCTGCTAGTCATCAACGTTTGTCTGTGTTATTTTGTAGTTTTTCGCATACTGGTAATAATGATACACCTGCATTTTGTGTAAATCCTTGGGTAGTTAATATGGATTTATATGGAAGAAATGATATCGCACTTGGACGTTTTTTAGAACGTTATTGTTTAACATCTGAATATAAATGTCCTGCTCAAGCATGTCGAGCACAAATAGCTCATGTTCGACGATTCGCACATGATGGTGGATGTATACATATTAGCTTGAGTGAAATGAGTACTGAACCGTTTTCTCAAGAAAATGCTAATCAAATTTTAATGTGGAGTAAGTGTATGAAATGTAAAAGTGTTTCTGCAGTAGTGCCTATGTCAGATGATACTTGGTCTTTATCTTTTGCAAAGTATTTGGAATTACGCTTTCATGGAAATGCGTACACTAGACGCGGAACGGATACTTGTCAGCACTCGCTTCATCACGATCATTATCAATATTTTACAAAGAAAAATATGCTGGCAGTATTTAAATATACAAAAATATCGCAATGGGAGATTTCATTACCACCTCCTTTAATAAATATTATGTATGATCCAAAGCAACATGCAGACGTAATAGAAGAAATGAAAAGTATAGCATTGAAGGGAGATGAAGTTTTTTCTTGCATACGAGAAAAATTGACAACTATACAAACGGATATAGATATTTTAAATGCTGCCAAACAGCAATTAACTAAAGATCAACAATATTTCAAAAATAAAATAGAAGAAATTCAATTAAAATTAACATCTCCAACTTTAGAGAATAAAAAGCTTGAAGGAAAAGTGTCTGAAAAACAAGTACAAGCTTTGATGTTCAGAATTGAAGATGGAATAGTAATTCTTAAACGATTAATATCAGAAGTTGTATTTACTTGGAATGCAAAAATTTTGGAAATGTCAGTTAAAAAGAAGGATGAGAGACCACGACGATTTACTGAACGATCGTTAACAACTGGAAGCAATAGTATAATCGATACAGATGGATATATAACAGAAGATACAGCATCAGAATCACAGATAGAAGATTTGAGTCCCATGTCAGCAGACTATAATGCTGTTGATGCTATTGCTGCTATACAAAATGATTTACAAGGAATGGAAGGCATAGAAAATTCTGACAATGAAGTTTTAGAAAATAATAATCCGGAAGATATTATTGTCATACAAGGATCTCCAAAAATGCATCAAAGATCACATTCTGATGTTCTGCCTATCACTTTTGATGATTTGCCAGATAAGAAAAAAAAGAAAAAGACAATTTTGTCACAATTATTACCTTCTGTGCCTGTTATTCAACCAATATCAAATCCTTTAGGGACTTTGGAACATCACTTACTTCCTCTTGGGTTTGTTAATTATATTAAAAAACATTTTTGTGAATTTGGTATGAAATATGCAATACAATATTAGAAAATAATTATACATGATTAATTTATGTTCTAAAATATTTTTATTTTACAGATCAGTTGTTCCTATAGTAGTATATGAATCAGAGCCTTCATCCATTATTGCATATGCATTAGATTCACACGACTATAAACATGCACTTCATGAATTAATGCGTACGACAAAAGGACCCGACTTAAATCCTAGTCCATTGAATAAACGTAAATTTCCCGAAAATAAAGAGAATCTTCCTGATGTGATGCAATCTGGAGAATTCAAACGACCGTCCGTTTTATCATTTTTCCGAGGAAATAGTCCAAATTCTGCAAGTCCTCTAGATTCTGATAAAAGCATTTCAAATGTAGATTATAGTGTACAAAATTCATTAACTACTACAGATACGGATGAAGATAAAAAAATAACAAAACAAAATTACATCGAAGTTCAATTCAACGACGCAACAACAAATTTCTATTGTAGAATATATTTTGCTGCACAATTTGCTGCTTTTAGAGAAAATGTTTTACCGTGTGGAGAAGATGGTTTTACCAGAAGTTTAAGTCGAAGCGTACAATGGGCGGCAAGAGGTGGAAAAAGCGGAAGCACTTTCTGTAAAAGTCGAGGTACAAAATGATATAAATATGTTTACGTTATATAATAAAGAATAAAATAAAATTTTTGACATATTACTAATTTTGTTTATGAACATATTTTTTATTATAGATGATAGGTTTATTATAAAGGAGATGTCTAGATTAGAAATGCAAATATTTCTTGAATTTGCACCAAATTATTTTTCTTATATGGAAAAATGCCAACAAACCAAGCAACCGACATTGTTGGGAAAAATAGTTGGTGTTTACAGAGTATCTTTTAAAAATAATACCACAAATGCAGCACTTCGAACTACCGTATTAGTGATGGAAAATTTATTTTATAAAAGATCGATAACGGACAAATTTGATTTAAAAGGATCTATAAGAAATCGACTTGTAAACCCCGATGACATGTGTCACGAAGGAGAACTCGTATTACTCGATGAAAATTTATTAAACAGTAAGTATTGTGCTAATATTTATTATTTTGTATATAAAAACTTTTCACTTTAATATAACATATTATATATATATATATTTCTAGTGAGTTGTGATTCGCCGCTCTATATTAGATCACATTCCAAAGCAGTTTTAAATAAAGCCATTGAACAAGACACGAAATTTCTAGCTGATAATTCTGTGATGGATTATTCACTATTAGTGGGTTTAGAGCCAAATTCGGATGAACTTGTCTTAGGCATAATAGGTAAGTTTAGAGAACTATGTCTTCAAGTACAGGATATTGTAAAAAAGTTGTGATAATTACAGATTACATAAGAACGTTTACTTGGGATAAGAAATTAGAAACAATGGTGAAGAAATCTGGCATACTAGGTGGGCAAGGAAAGTTGCCAACGATAATATCACCGGAGGAATATCGATCTCGTTTCATAGCCGCTATGCATCGATATTTTTTACCTGTACCAGACAGATGGTCTGATTTAGGTAAAGGTGTAGAAACGTGAAAGATGTAAATCCAAATAGCGAGATTTTCAGTCCTTTACAAATACTGATACTAAACATTGTATATATATTTTCTATGCAGCTGACATACGTGTAACAAGCAGAGTTGCATATAGAGATATGTAATTGTATATTAATATTTTATAGGATTATTACTAGTCGACATTACGATATTTTGTAATGGGAAAGTGATAAAAATATGTTACCATTATTATAATGGAAAGTCTCATTGTACAGTTTTAATGTCAATTTATGTAGCGATCTAACATTTAAATTATGTCGCTAGTATTTGCATTCATTAGTGCGTTGGTCATTGTATTGCATGTACATAATACGTTAGTACTAAAATTTACAAGTGAATTGTCTCTCTTCAAGTTTAAAGCACAAAGGGCATGAATGAGAATTACATAAAATTATATAAAAGTCTATGAAAGCACCATTATTAATGTTTTATTTAGATCATTTTTTCAAAATTATGTACATGAACATTATTTATTATTATTGATAGTCAAATAAACAATAATAATAATAATATTATTAATTGTGCTATAAATAAAAACAAAATTTGTCTAAAAATATCGCATCACGCCAATATAATTTTAGTACATTATACATATCTTATGATCAGGTCACAAAAGCAAAGTATAACGTGTCGACTATAATACATTGCGGGACGCTGATCTATACGTTACAAACACAAAAAAGACATTAAAGCGTATACCTTACAGAAAAACATCTCATCATACTCACTTTTTGTATGACATAATTTCTACCATATTTACATAAATGAATGCACAGTAATGAAGCTGCAGCGAAACTCGAATACTTGAACTATTCCATCATTAAAAATTAGATTATACTGATCATAATGTCCCTCGTATTTTTCGAGACTATGAATTTATTAATCGTACATAAGAAATCTGCAACTGTTTGATTTATGTGACTTTTCTATCGTATATACTTATTCGAATAATAAAATGTCTTTCATTTGTTTGAAACTAAATATGACTTGATATAGATGCGTCGTGAGATTAAATATACTATTGTGAAAAAGATCGTTGGAACGAAAATAAAATTAAACTTTAAATGTACGTCGTCGGTTGCCGATCTATATAAGAATGATTGAATGGAAAACAGTTTTATTATATACTGGTTAGGTAAATTACAATAAGCTGTCGTACAAGAATTTCTGCAAATAATACGAAATCTATGATTAAATCATTTACATGTGAAGTAATACGAAATGTCTATTCGTATTCCTATTTGTAAATTGAATTGACGATGAAACAGCTCAGCTAATATGGCTCCACTGCTTTTTTCCTCGTAGAAAAAAATGACCTACACTGGATACTATCTGAGCAAGTGATTTCTCCGTGTGAACGAGTTTTGAGAAATGTATATAGTTCTTCGAGTAACTTCACATAAATACTTATTGGACATTACATAATCAGTAAATTCCTTTTTACAATTTTTTACATAATAATTCGTCGTAATTTCGCATCCATTATAATATTAGCCTCGTGTTCTTATGCATTACTCGCTTCGCATTAAGCATGAACAAATTTTTGCCTTTCATTAGACTTTATATTATTATTATCATTACAAAACAATGCCGACAAGATCGGATTTTACATAAAATCTCTAGATCAAGTTCGATCGTCATTAAAAACAACAGGCGACAAGAAATACGAGTACGATAACGTTTTTCGACTCGTGGTCAACTAGACTCGAATTACATTCACAATGTCTCTTTGTTCGACTACAAAAGAAGAAATAAAATAAAATAAAAATAAACTAACATTCATCGCTAAGCGCTATCCAGTGCCGGCAATTTTTTGTACTATGGTGTGGAAGTGGTATTCGATTTCTCATTGACTTCCGCGGTCCACGAACCGCAAACGTTTCCTATCTAGCCGCGAGTCTATAGATCGAGAAACAACAAGGAAGATACCCGGGACGGTGGAGGAGGCTTCTCGCTACTCATTTACATCAAGCGGCATTCTGGACGCATACTAATTTCATAAATGCTAAGGAGAGTATCGCTGTCTTTCATAACCATAGGAACTACCGTCCCAGCAGCACGTTTAAAAAGGAGAGAGAAAAGAAATAAGATATAGTCTTTGCAACTTCCGCTCTCGTATTCTTTTCTTTTCTTTTTTTTCTTTTTCCTTACACATATCACCAGAATAATCCGACGGAAGAAGAGAAGAGCTTTTTTTCTTTTCAAGAGCTCTCGAGAGGCTCGATCGTGATCGACGTGTTGTGTTTCGATGTACACCATATATCAAAGAATAACAAGAATAAACAATCAAGGGTCGTATCGGCTACTCTAGAGATCCAAATATACCGTGCCATTCAATGAGAGATGAGGATCTCTTTCTATAGAGAAATCTTGCTTCTTCTACAGACGTGCACGCCTAAATAATTATCTGGGTTTTTCTCCGTGCACACATTTTTCAAGAAATCATGCGTCCTTCTAGGGATGAGGAGATACGAGCGCGTGAATCTCGGTTAATAATCGCTCTTGTGGTCACACAGCGTATAACCCTGGGGAGCCAGTCGATCTTTTATAAACCATGCCTCCTGTTTTAAACACCGTTTACGTGCACATCGTGCGACCTCGGGATCTTGCGCACGGACCGCCGAATCGCTAGTTTCTTTTATCTCTGTGGTTCGCCTAGGCCCAATTGTTGACTTTGCGTTTGCTGTTGCGCGTTCCCGGTCACGCTACACCGTCCTCCGTGATGTTGCGCCGCCATCCCTGTTTGCATTGAATTCTGATGCAATCCGTTTTGGCTCGGCGACATTCCTGCAATTGTACAATAAATTTATCCTTTAGTCTCGTAATCTAACCTTTCTTTACGATATAACTAATTTATTTATGATAAGCGTGTTGTATATACTCTCATTTTTCGGACACGTGTTACGAGTATTTTTCGCTGCGATTCTTTTAAGCAAAGATAGAGAGTGCCAAGGGACTTGTTACTTTAAGCGCTCGCTAATTTTTCTTCTGTGTTTATGACAATGTCTCGCGTTAAAAAAGACCACGTTGTTTGACACGTTAAATAGTTTTTGGAACGCACAATGAAGATGCTAGGAATTCTCAGAGAGGCAGAGAAGATATTTATGGACTTGACAGTGGAGTAAAAAGCGCTTGGCCGAAAGAACTTCATAAATCAAGCGTTTTCAACCGTTTAATTATTATTTTCTGTAATTTGACGATCCGACTATATTAAATTACTATCAAAATGTACATCACGTGAAATATTTTTTATCAGGCATTAAAATGTCAAATTACAAAAGATTAATTATTCTTTTGTTCTTATAAGAAAGTTATTATATAAAAATATTATCTTAGCTTCTTTTTCATTCGGTATATTGGATACAAGCTTACAGATTCCTGAATCAGTTTTCTTTGCAATTTGTGTGTATACAAGGTGTTTCATACAATTGGGACAGTCTTTAGTCGCTACATTCACAAACCTGTAATGTTTAGCTATATACTCTAGATACAAGTAGCAATAATTTAAATAATATTATGCAGGTAAACATAGGAGTTTTATGTATATATATATAATCAGGTTCCTTTCTGAATAAAAAATCGTCATTGATTTTTTTTTTTAAGATAATTATACGTTTTTGGTGATTATAAAAATAGAATAAAATATGATAAGGTAAAATGGAATGGTTTAGATTGAAGAATATTGTGGAATTAATCTTATCTATCTTTATGCATGAATGTATGTCAAACGATAAAGTGCACTTTTTCTAAAAATACTTTTAATTTATGTACTCAATTCTATTAAGTAAAATTAGATATTTCTAGTAAAACAGGACGCTAAATATTTTACAACTGGACGAGAAGGTTATGTTTTAAATATCTATATATTCAACAGCAATTTACTTGTTTTGCTAAAAATGTCAACAGTTATGGAAATAGACATCATTCGTATATCAAGCAATATGAACAAGTAAATAAAAATGTTTTTTGAGCACAATGGAAGGTTATAACGTAAATATTCCATGTTGCTACACTGACATAATTTAGTAAATTTAGAACTATAATAATTTTTAATCAAGTAGTTTCCAGATACAAATATCTTAATTTAATACAACGAGTGTAAAGTTACACTGATTAATTTTTTGAATTCCATTACACTTTTTAGATGCATTGATGTATAAAAATACATAAAATTAATTCCAAAACATCCCTCATCTTGAAAAATTCTATTTTACCTTATAATATTTTATTCTGTCTTAAAGATCCATCTTGTTCCAGTTGTGTATAGCACCCAGTATACCTTTTACAAAATTAAATACAGTGGTTCTGAGATTTGTATAATGTCGTCGAGCTCCAAGCGTTTATATTTAGTACTCTGTGTAACTCTGTAAAACATAAATTATCTTTTTAGAAAACATCTCTATGTTTTGCCAAGATTTTGATTATATTACATGAGAACATACCATACTCGCTTTAATTATGTCTTAATATTCAGATGTAGATGATACGTTGCTGTTATTTGATTATAATTAATATTCAAAAGCTTTAAATTATTAATTATGCAACAAAAAAATTTTTAAATACTTCTCCAGTTAATGAACTAAAGAAAAGTTTATTCTGTATGAAAGAGTAAACAGTGAAAAATTCTGGTCAGATGGTATATGTAATTTTAGATGAAAATCTCAGAAGGCTAGCAAGGGGTGTAGTTATGAAATAAGAATCAAGACTTCGTACTGTGTAAGAATGCGTTCTCTCATTCTTATGAATTAATCAATATGCGCAAGCTACATGGAAATAATTCTCGTCGGAAGAAAAACGTGATTCAGAGAAAAATGACAATGCGCTGGGTTTACGAATGATATTTATAGAAGGATAATTTTTAAAGTTGTACGTTTTTGCAATACAAATACCCAGCTAAAATTAAAACTGCAATTTGTTATGCTACACAGCAAGTATACAGTAATGACAATATTTTCTGACACAAGTTTAATTTTAATTGTATTAAATTATACGTTGATTTTATTACAAATACGTTTCAAAAATATGTATTACTCAGCATATGTCTAAAGCATTAAACATTTAATAAAATTTCGATGTTGTTAAATGTATTAACATTAAGATTAAACAAGTATATTTATCTTTTAGTATTAAATATGCATGATATCGTGTAATTGGTGATACAACTGTGTGAGAATGATAAGTGATAAATAATATCAAGAGGTCGATAAGAAACAACGATGAGTCACTGTTTTTGAAAAGAAATTATGATTCAATAGAATTTAAATCTTATATTATTCAATTACTCGCTACTTTTATTTATATTAACGTTTGTAGCATTAATATCATTTTTATCATAACGCTTTTAAATATCAAACGTGATATAGTTAGAATACAGTAATTAATATTTTATTTATTTTCATATGTGATTTACTATGTTGACATGTAAAAATACTAACTTCAATGAAAATAATGGGTATTTCATTATGATCCAGATTGTATACACATACATGTTCTTTTTTAAAACGATACATCGTACCAAAAATTATATTTCAAATTTTGTATTTATCTTCATATAAAAAGTCGTTTCTGGAAAATAAAGACTCAAATGAAAAAAATTGTATTCTGCGATTTTAAATTATTTTTTCATACAGTATCATTTTAAAATCCTTTGATTTGTTTTACTAATTCACTTGAAGTAACGTATACTATAATACAAGATATTCCAGTATAATTTAATCTATTTCGATGATTCAACATTATATAATAACGAATTTACATAAATTAGACTTGTTTTATATTATTTATAAATTATGTACTATGCTATGTGACAGTAACTACAATATTTAAAAAATTTTAGTAATATCGTTAAATATACAACAAAAACTAAAATTTTTACATTGAATTCTCGAAATATTTTTTAAATTATATCTAATATGAAAAGCGACTAATTTCGTCTACTACTAGATATATATAATTAAATCGCGAGTGAAGTCATGTATTTTAGTAGTATTGTCTTTCATTGTTGAACTAATTTGTAAAGCAGCTTCCTTAAAGAATAAAATAACTAATATGGCGTGCGCGCCTGCGTGTGTGTTATATATTATATAATATTAATTTATGTTGGAAAACTAAAATACAAAAATATCCACAAAAAAGTAGATTTAATTACAACAAAAAATATTTAATAAGATTTTTCTAATTAAATTATTTATTACTTAAAAAAAAAGGAAAAAGGGAGGAAAGATAAATAAATAGAATAAAGTGAAACTCACCTGAAGGAGTTTTGTCTCCTGCGGACATTTTGGAGAACGCCAAAAGCGCGTCAGGAAAATTTGGTGGAGTGGCCGGCGTATTACATGGTGTAATCTACAAAAGAAACGTATTTTTGTAATGATTACAAGCTTCGATAATGCCGTCGATGCAGCTGTATCATATAGCTGTATTTGTTTACGTTCCTGGACATTGCGTGCATGATTATTTAGGTCGTGACTAGGGCGCATGACTGTGTAGTCATAAACATAGATTCTTCGTTTAAAGATCGATACCTACAATCAACCTCTTTCGCGTGTTTTACTACAAGGTTCCTAAGAGGATACAGGTTCCACATACCGCTCTGTATACTTTTACTTGCATTTCATTACATAAGAGTTAAATATCAATTTACAAGCTCCTGCTAAAGTTATTTTGAAAATTGCTTCCTTTCGATCGAAGATGTTTCATTCGGTTTCATTTGTGCAAAGCAAACATCTTCTTCGTACTATGAATATTCATAATTCTTGTAGAAAAGCTGATCAAGCTTATTTACAACTTTCAGAAAGTTTTTGTACCAAACACAAATCCTTAATTGCACTCGCTATAAAATATAAAAAAATAAAAAATTTGGTTATGTTTTTAATAAATTGATCATCGCTATACTTTCATGGCTACTTATGTTTAACCTCGATTACATAATTCTTAGAATTACAATATTGATTTCTTCATCGCTAACTGTACTCGTTATTACTTATTAATTACTTACGTAATCTCTTTGATTTGTTAGTATGTAGACTTAAATGTGTAAGACGTTAGCATACAACGATATCTCATGGTTACAATACTTGCACTTCATGTTTCATTCATAAACTGTTTACCGATCAGCAGGAGGCTTTGTCAGGAAAGAAAAATTATTCGGTTTTTAATCGTATTTCATAAATGCAGAATAAGATATTACCTGTAGTGCTTAAAATTTTGTACGAGTGTTTTACGTAAGCCGTAATGAAGCGACACAAATCTATGGTAGGCGGGTGAAAAGAGAACGACAAAAGTAGCTTTCTGCGAGTGAGAACTCGTCGGTTGTTAAGGTCATCGAACCTTCGACTCCTGAATGTGATGTCAGTGTACCAGGTGGACAGAACGTAACAATATAAGATTCACAGGTGCTCCTATGTTGTTGGCTAACTGATTACATAAATAAATAGTGGGTTGCAAATCGAAATCCTTGGCAACTTTCAAACTTATTCGATGAATAAATTTCAAACATATCACATTTTTTCTTTACTTAAATCCAATTCCTTTGTTTTCTCCGACGATTAATGCATCGAACGACGCAAATAAAACGAATAATAAGTACAACGAAGTGGAATTTTTGTTTGCATAATTTCAGTAACTTTGAGGTTATGAAAATATTGAAAAAGGATTCCCTCTTTTATTGTAAAAAGGACGTAAAGATCATCACATTTCTTAATGTATGTTAGGTTATGATCTGATATAAAGTTATAAATAGTATTAATTGTAGGTTATATTATTAGGAATGTGATAAGTAAGATATTTTTGATAAATTGAATATAAATGAAAATTTAACGTGCAAACTATGGTAAACTAAAAAATTAACTACGGTAATTTTATTAATTTATTTTAATAATTTGATTCGAATTTCAAGCTAACTGAAGATATTTAAAAATATTACTAGTATTAATACAGTTTATAAAGATCTTACTAGATCTATTAACTGTATGAAAATATAGGGAACATGTTGAAACAAGTTATTACTAAACCAAATGATGTCATGCCTGCTGATAGGAAGAGTAAATGCTAATATTTTATCTCAATAAATTGGTGAAATATTTATAAAATGTATACGTGTATATTTATATACGCCAGAATTTTCAACAAAATTATCTTACCAAGAATTTATTCATGTTCCGAGTTAAATACGTATTTATAATTAAGAAGCTTGCATTTCGTCATTCGTCCTCTATTCATAAATCTACTTAATATTGTCGGTGTAGTAAAATAAAACAAGATCGCTGCTGGTTAATTATTTGAACGCGTGCACGTTGCAGTGATGTAATGTTTACGATGAGTGATTGTGGCGCGCGCATAATGGCTTCTTATCGTGAAACGGCATGGACGAACACACCGCGAAGGAGGCAAAGTAAAAATGGCCTGTGAAACCCAGAATTTCGCCCTCGGATTTTAACGTTGTCGTTCGTCCAGTGTTGGACCGAGATTTGGCACACAGCTTATCGGAATGCCGCCGACCGAGAATAGTAACACACCTAGCAACTGTCTGCCCACAGTGGTTCTCTGTCTTTCATAACGTTCTGAAGTTTACCAACTGAAATGCAGAGTGAAAACAGCGCCATCGCTGGGCACGTTTCGGCGAAGTTTCACGCGGAAGACGTAGTCACGTAGTGTAGTCACGTTATTTAACGATCATCGATAAGTCATGGATAACGTGTAAACATGCCCAATTCATCGATAATATTATCGAAGTATCAGGAAATGGCTGAAAGTCGATAAAGCAATGAGAAATGATAAAATTACATCAGACCTATTTTTGTTTCATTTTGGCCTGATTTAATGGATATAATATTACTTTTAACTACGTAGTAGTTAAGCTGAAGAAAATCTCTCTTAATTTTACAAATAAATCATTGACAAGTAATTATAAATTCGTATAATAATAGTATAATATAAATGTGTAATTGTTTGTATAATTTATGAATATTATAATTTTTGATATCTTATTTAAAATAACGTATTTTTTAACACAAGCTTTTATGCTTTTAGGTAGAGAATATATGCTGATATTACGTATTACATTTGAGCCATTTAAACGATCACGCGTATATACCACTGCTCCACTGTCTTCTCTAGGAATTGGTAACGTATGATACTGCATTCAAAGTACTGCGAGCGTTGAACCCGCTTGTAAACATATCGCTATATCTTAAATTTTATCTTTCCAAATAAATAAACCATCGTGAGCTTACAGCAATATTTCTAAACGTTTATCATTTACACTTGTAATAATATGCATAATTTATATCTACAAATTATAATGTTTTGAATTACTTGTATTAGGTTATCTATCTTTAAACATGGACAAGTAAAATTACTGATATTTATCGATAGATCAGTAGGGTAAAATTTTGTACAGGTATACACAGTTTACTTTTCATATATACTAATATAATGTTATATTATTCACATAAATTCTACTTTTTATTCCATATATAGGAAATAGATGATACAAGAGATAATACAACGTACAAGAATCTATCGTATGGCAATCACATTTGCTATGTCTTTTGCCTACATAGAATATGCTTTTCTAATATAGTTTCACCTATTTCCTCCAAAGAGAATATCGCGTATTTTTTGAAATACCGATAAAATTTTAATAAGGTAAAGATATAAGTCGTAAAACCCTTTCCACAGTATTAATATAAAGCTGAACTCATTCATTTATTTTGACAGAAGACTCGAAACAACTACTTAACCATTTTTCAAGATAACAAAGAGGTCTAATAAACTCGGGAAAATATAATGAACATATGAATCTTAATTTTATACACGAGGTAATGAAAAAAGAGTTCAAGTCTAATAACTCATTTTCATAAATTTGCAAAGAACTTACAAACAGCAAAATGTTATTAAACATTTCTCGTACAGATAAGTTTTGCAAGTGTTATCGTTTATTGAAAAAGAAACAAGCTGTCGTGAATGTAAAAGAAACGAATAACTTTTATGTTTCATTTGTCGTTTCAGAATTCGAGTCCAACATAACCTCCACGCGGTGACCTAACCCTATTTCCGAGATTAGGAAATTCTTGTGGAACGTTGCAACGTTATCGTCGGCAGCTGTAAAAACTTCTATCACGAAGAGTTAGACAGAAAACGAAATCTGAAATCGGGGGAGAACCGACAACAGAAAAGTTAACGAGGAAGAATTCGTTCTGCTGAATCAACGTAGTCATGCTACGTAACCTCCGCGCGTTTTTTAATTGAGCCAAATACTTCGTTACCGTGCAAATGTTTGGAAACAGACTGTGAAATTAATACGATTCCTCATGGGTAAACGAATTGGCTTTAACGATTACTTTAAACAAGGCATTTACGCGATACGATTCGAGTAAATGGATAGATAGGTGTTTAGTAACACGGCAACAGTATTACAATCGATAAAATTATCACGTTTGTAATGCGTGGCTCGTTTGAGTAACTAATTAAGCTTTGAAACGTATCGTGGCTTGTCTATAGATTTTATTCGCTTTGAATATCAAATGAACGATTATAATGTTTATATGTTTCAAATGATATTTATTGCTTTATATATTTTACCTATCTTATTGATTTTATTATGATAAATAGTAGGCACAAAGTAATAAGAATTTAATTAATAGAAATAAGGCTGTTCATAGCAATGTAATATATGAGCGTTCACTGCACAAATCGATTGACTCCACTTTTTGAAAAATCTTAAATTTAAGTGTCAAAACACTTGGCATAGTCATAACTTTTTATATTTATAATAACTTTCCCTAATAATTAAGATTAACACCATTAAACGACAAAAATTTGTTGGCCACTGAATAATAAATAATTTATTTCAGAGATCACTTTGATTAACTCCGTACTCTAATGTAAATCGTTGCAATAATGCAACTCAAATGCACTAGCAAGCCATGAATGATAACGGTGAATTTTTTAGTGCCGCCTTATCAGAATTTAAGTAAAATTTAGTAAAATTTAAATTTATTACTTTTTTCACTTGCCAAATCGAAATGACGATTACCTTTTGGCTATTTTTTCTCATAAATTTTATATATCGTTAGATGAAAGTTACATTTGTATTTTTGCATTCTACAATATTTATTGAGATGTAAATCATAAAGGGAATTTTAAAAAACAATATACATTATTTCATTGCATTTCTCCACTTTTTGTTTTATGGAGTTAATCAATTTGTGCAGTGAACGGCTCATATGTTAAGTAATCAGTGATATAATGTTAAACAACGAAAAGAAGTGCATCGAAGCTTTCCATTTTCCTTATCAGGATCTTACGCAATGTTTAGATACGATTAAAAATCAACCGTAATG